ATTTTTCGGGCTTTTCAGCTGTAGGAACATGGACAGCCGGTACATGATTGATCGGATGCTGAGAGCTGGAACCTGCTCCGGTGGATGCCATCAGTTCAATAGGATGACTGATTATTCTTCTTGCGATTGTTGGATATTTGGTGTCAAAATTACACGGGAATCCTACGAACTGATATGTATTTTCAGTTCTTACAAATAATCTAAAAATAGAAAATTACAATTGAACCAAAAAATAAATTACAACTGAAAACGGAAAGATTTTATAGCCGAGGCGAGTAAAACTCTTTCCGCAAGAAGAATACGCCCCGTGTGGCAGCTAACGGTTCAGGCGTAACTTCCCCAAAGATACAACGGCAAACGTCTCTAAATCTGTAGCACACCAGATTTACGAGCTCCGGCGAACGGGAACGGAGTCGAAAATTGAGCACTTAAAAATAAAATGAATATCTTAAAACAAATAAAAATATCACTTGTTTCTCTCTTTTGATATTTTTTATATCCGATATTTGGACATAAATCTATCTCTTCTTTCTCTTTCTCTTTCTTTCCTCTCTTTTTCTCTTCTTATTTTGTGCGTACTTCTTCTTCTGCCGATGAGCTCTATTTATAGGCGCATTTCAGTACAAATTGGTAATTGAAAATGGAAAGCTGAGGTGCATTCACATGTGTAGATGCCTTCACATGTATTCACATGTATAGAAGCCTTCACATGCATTCACATGTACATATGCTTTCACAAGTCAATTTCCTGATGCCTTCACATGTTTAGTGCCATTATTACACTATAATTAAGGTGGGGCCCAATTTACACTCATCAATTACAACATTAATAAGTCGAACTCAAATTGAACTTGAGCCTTAACGAGTCGAGGTATTAAAATTACATAAAAGATTATTTTCAAGCTCGAGCTCGTTTGTTAGAGCGAAACTCAAGCCATATCAAACCGAACTCACAAACAACTAACTTCGTATAATCCCTCTAGTTACTCCTCCTAAGAACAATCAATAATTGTATAAAGTTTTATTTTCTCAATGTTCGGATTCGGAGATGTAGGGGTGAGAATCGTGAGATGAATATATTTTTGTTTTCATCAATAAAAAAAAAAAGGTTTATGAGAAAGAAAAAATTTTAAAAATGTAATTGATATGAAGGCAATTATTACAATTAGTTTGAGGAAAAAGTAAATAATAATAAGTAAAAATAAAAAATACGTGATTAAATCAATAATATAAATCTCAATAAAATGTCAATCATTTTTTATATTTTATTATTAAAATTGATGTCAGAACACTTGCAATGATCATATTGTTTAATTTTTATGACTCCCGTGAAATAATATGCAGTATAATTTTTTTTTCTCTTGTCCATTTCAAAAAGTCCAACATTGGATTTAAAAATTTATTTCGATGTTGGAATTAAATACTTACATTATTCAGTCAATTAATTGATAGTTTTTTTTTTTTACAAAGAAAAAGGCCAACGGCCTAGTCGTGAACTAAAACGCGACGGAGATAAGAAACTCCAACGACATCGTGCAGAAGCCAATCGTGCACACTAAGAGGAGGAGAAACCAACACATGAAAACCAATCGGTCACAAAGTTTACCTCGCGGTACACATGTCGAATACTAATACTCCACGCTCTTTGGACCAGTTGACGAGTGGCCCTGACTAACGTATCATGGACGCCAAAGCTGCTGCCAGTCCCAGTTTTTTATGGATACCTTTTCAGGTTGACGGCGTCACGTTGAGGAAAACGTGGCTACGTACAAATATGGTAACGCGGTGATTGATGACTAACGGGAGCTGCGGCCTCTTTATAATTGTCGTTACGTGGCAGCAGGTGAGTGGTGGGCACATGAAAAAACACTTGTAATAGGCCTACAAGTGTTTTGGGCTTAGCATTTGGTCGGATTTGAAACTATTTGGGCCTGATGTCATGACAGAGTATGCTCATTCGTTGGTTAATGCATAGTAGGGGGCCCACGAAGTTTTTATTTAACCCCTCTTCTTTTCATTTTTCCTTTTTCTATTTTTTTGGTACAATTTTTTTTTTGTACAAATATGGAGGTCAAAGGTCTGATAACTACGACACTAGAATACGACGTGGGTGAGCCACCCCACATAAATCGTTATCAAGCCATGCATCCAACCTTTGAGGGGGTGACGAGATTCTCTGTAGTTCTAACGTGGTAGAGCCAGCTAATGAGGCAGCTAATGTCGCCCTATGGTCAGCCGCGAAGTAGAAATTATTGAGAATTAATCACTCATTGGTGCCAAATCTTGTGAGAACTTGTGAAGCAGAAATTATTGAGAATTAGTTATTATTTTAATTTAATTAACAACTCTATTTTATTAGTTGTTTAATTAATTATTATTTTTTTTTCTTAAAATAAATTATTTCTTTGGACATATTTTAGACCCTCTGGATAAGTGTGTGCACTATATTTTTAAAAGCTGTACTATATTTTTAAAACGAAGAGAGTGTTCATTCTCTAATATAATTATGGGTAAGGCTACATTCCCGTTACGGAAATTTTCAACAGTCAGATGCACATGTAGATTAGTGTAACATGTGCATCTAACGGTTGAAAATCCAACGAAATAATTCCGTAACGGACCTTTAGCCTTTTCCTATAATTAAACTTGCGGATTCAATTTGTTCTTTCTAGATTTATCTTTTACTTTCCCATTTAACTTGCTGTCTCTTTCTTTTTATTCTTCTAAATATGCTTTCAGGTTCGCCTAACAAGTATCGAGCTAATCTAGAACAGGTGCAGAAAATGGTTCAGTAATATCAAAGGAATGGGCCCGTATATAGCCCAATTAAAAATGGGTAGACCTTGGACCTTCTCGAACGGGCCACAGCCTTCTTATCCATTTATTATGATCAATTATGATAATTATCCTTTTTTTTTTTTGTCAAACCGATAGAGATATTATAAATCAAAACGCACAACAGTGCTCAAAAGTCCGTCTAGAACCTCGCTAGCCACACTAAAATAGAAAAACAAACACACAACTAACATTCACAAACACACCAACTAAGATCGCTCCCCACAGGAGAATAGAAACGCCCCCCGCAGGGAAATCAGAACCAGTACCGGGGCCAACGGCCCAAACCTAAAAAACAAGACCAAAGAACACAGACAGACTCAGGCAAAGAGCCCAGACAAAAAAAAACTAAACTAAACAGACTCAAGAACACCTATTGTAACTACTACTACTAACGACCCTCCCCTGAAGATAGCAAACTGAAAAAGCAGCAACATCCGGCTCTCGGTCAGGCCCCTAGCCAAAACCCAACCCCCGAAACTGCATAAGGCCTATACAAGAGTCCGGTCCCCGC